TGCAATTCTGGAAACAAGCCATTGACTAGCATGTGCTCTTGTAATTGTACTGCAACCACTTTCTCTGTGAGTTTGGACGTGAACTGTAAATTACTCACAGGCCGAAAGTTCTTGTTTATCAACCGAAGACCAGATTTTTTGAGCAGAGGATGTACTACTGCCCTTTTCCAGTCATCTGCAAAGTAGCCATTCTCTAGTGATACGTTGACCATCCTACTAATCACTGGAAGTAACTCCTGTTTGCAAACCAACAAGATAGATGATGGAAGAGGGTCCAGAGTACATGTCTTCATAGAAGCCACAGCCATCTTCCTTACAGCCTCTTTGGAGAGAGGCTGAAACTCTGATAGCATGACAAGGTCATCACTACTCGATGAACCATGAGGCGCCAGCTCAGTAACCGCAGGAGAGACCGTGTCACCAGCTAGATGATCTAGTAGCCACTATTTTATGGATGAAGTATTCACCCATCTCATTTGCAAGAACAGAGGCGTCAGTGTGGGGTGGGAGAGACTTGTCTGCTTACAGATTTAGTAGGCTCTTGCTAGCCCGGAACAGCTTTGATTGGTGTGAACTGTTCTCGTCAATGAATTCCTTGTAATAAGTACATCTAGCTTCATTCATCGAATGTATGACATAATTTCGCTTAGCTTTAAATACTACAAGATCTGCTTGGAGACCACTTGCCATAATTATGAATGTCAACATAAACCTGTGATCGTCTGTCTTTAAATAAATCCCCTTTTTTTCTCCGTGAATTGCGAGCCATGAAGATTGTCACAAAGCCTTATATCAGAATTGTAACATTATGAAGTTTCACGACAGTAGTGAAAATGCAATTAAGTTGAAAAGAATCCTGACATTTCTGTCCACGAAAATGACACTTGATGGCAAAAGTGGTGTACCATGGAGACGTAAATACGCGTAAATGCTATTGTTTGATCTACAAGTAAATGCTACATTGTATTTTTAGTACCGGCATCCCAACGTCTCCTTTTTCCTTTCTTCTTCGTGCGACAAAGAGGAAGAACAATTAGCTTTCTAGCATCCTTATACTGAAGTAACAAGACAGGTTTTTAGGTTTGTTTATGAGTGAGGGAATCGCATTCAATGTAGAGTAATAACCCTGTATGTGAAAGAATATAAATCGATGGACTCGAGGTGTCATCGCACCTACGAAGGTGCAAAAGCAATGGAAATAAACGGAAAGAAAATGTAAAAAAAAATGAATAGTTGACTTAACTGATCTTCTTGCCAAAGTTAATTAGTTTGCGCTAGAATCTGTCACAGGAAGGCTTAATATGCACAGTCCTTAAAAATGTCGCTGATCTAATCTAATCTGAATGCCTAAAGCACACAAAGCTGCGGATACTTCCTCTAAAGTCCAGGCAATATTTGGATAAAGATTAAATGTTTACATGCATGCCCTGTTATTAAAATTATTAGCAGTTTGGTCTTGGATGGTCCAAAAAATTCAGTCTTTGTTGCATTCCACCAACAGAAGTTCATGAAAATCAGCATATTTTTATTTTCTGATGGCATTATAGAGATTATAGGCCATTTACAAACCAGATAGAGAAATATCGGAAAAGTTTTAACATCGAAAATATAGGGACACCTAAAGCCCCATATATTTCTTCTTATAAGCCACCACACTTTTTAGATAACAGTTCAATTTTAGTTGGCACGGTTCAGACTTTGACAAAAGAGCAACTACTTTCACAATGTAAAACAAGACTACATAGTTGTATTTGTGGTGGCTGCCAGCTTATAAAGGTCAAATAGCCGATCACCATCCCTCTCTTTAATAGCATCATTAAATTCCGTAAGTATGAGCCCAAAGCAAATTCATTCTGTGACAATTGTAGAGATCGTCTTCAGTAGGACCCTTGTCACATGTGTCTGCAGTACGGGTTTCATTCTGAGCAGGGTGAGTTTGTTTTTCATGTCTGCAGTCAACAACAACAAAAAACCAAATATTACAAAAGCTAACTATATTAATGTTTTGTATTAACAAATTAAACTTCTGTCTGGAAAGAAATTTCTTTTATCCAAAGCCAAGGTTGTGTATGTAAGTGGGTGGAGGAAGCGGGGTACAGGTTAGGGCACGCTCCTTAAGGAAATTTGAGATTAAGAGAAGTCCTGAATTAGCTAACTTAGGGAATTCATCTGATAAACCAGATAACATCATACAACAGGTAAAACATATAATAAATAGTGGGGCAATAGCATCCCCCTACTCCCTGTTCGGTCCCTAAATAATGATAGGAAGAGAGTAATTTTTATTGATTTCCCTTTTATTACACTAAATCCTATTAACAACGTAGCAATGTTATTTCTCATTGCCTTGGTACTGAATACATAACCACGGTTTGCCCTGCATTTGAAGTACCCAAAGGAACCTCTTTCTCCTGGACTGGAATCAGCACGAAGACCTTCGACATCTATTTCATGTCTATTAATGAATAAAAAAAAAAGATCGAGCTGATATTTAGTGAGTCGAGAGGCTTGATATCATTAAAACCCCAGCTCAAAGATATATATTGTCGCTGCACCATAAATTGAACGGGATTTGAACCTCTGACCTCTGCGATACCCGTGCAGTGCTCTTACCAAAGTTGCGTTCATAACTGCGATGATCTTCTTTCACATAAATCTTCACCCCGCACTTGTCATGTATGATTTTCATTGCCTAGTCCCTAGGCCTCATTATTATGCGTGGCTGATGCGTTGATCATTGTTCCGTTGATAAGTCCAAAGGAAGTGAAAACATCCGATTTGTTGATTCGAGGTGGGCAAATTGAGTGAGTCAATCCATATTTCAAGACTTCCAGTTGTTGCGACGTTAGATTGGAGGACCACAAGTTAGTAATCATTTCTTTTGATGTGAACGGAAGAATGGTATTCCTCGTCAGTCTTTCAAGCTTCTTCGTATGGGTTTTGACGATCTTGTTCACCGCTTTCTTCACGTTGTAGTCCACTGATCTCTGGAGAATGTAGAAATCAACGCTGTTAAAAATGTTACTAATGTCTGATAACAACTGTTTCTTTACGAGTAGAAGCTTTTTGTACTCTCTTGTACGTCTCGTGATAGCACTTCTTAACAGACGCTTTCTAATTGCCAGGATATCATGGCCACTTGTGTTTGGTAGCTGAAAAGACAAAAACTTTGGGAAGACGTTGAATGTCTTGCAAATGCGTAAAAAAATTCAAATCCAGCTCGGCTTTCCTAGCCTTGACTGCAACTTTTTCAATTTTGCGGACATCAGCGATGCTGACACCATCATACTTCTCTGCTAAGTTGTGTATAATAGCTCCAAATGGAACACTGTGGTCTGAAGTGGAGGAAAAGATTTAATTGATCTCTGCAAGGGATCCAGAGCGGCACTGTAAGGAAACGGCAGCTCCCAAAAATGGTATGAAATTGCATGGGATTTCAACAGGTTGAGCAAAGAAGTGAATTCCTGATCATCATTTAAAACAGGAGTGCAGTGCAGAGATAAATGGTACAATATACTTAACTCCTTCAATAATGCTAAAGATTCGTCAACTAAAACTGAGGGAGATACCACGAAAATGAAATCTTTTCAGCGCTTCGTTGAAATGAACAGCTTCATGGCCGATAAACACGAAATTGCAATGCCTTTTGCTAGGAATTCAGGCTGCAAGTCCAGCAAAGTCAGTGCAAGTGAGCTGAAAGTAAGCTGCCCATAGCACTCAGAAGAACAAGAGAACGAGGAAGATGGATCAGAAGTTCCCAAAAAGAAAGGAAAGGGACATTTGAAAGATGACAAAGATGAGGGGTGGTATGAACTTTTTGACAAGCAAACAAAAGTTTTGGAAGCAAGCCAGAAAAACCAGGAAAATTATTTAATTTTTTGTCGGTCTGAAGCTAGAGGACATGAGTTAATAATCACTGCCATTGAAGAAATTTGCACAGTTATTAGTGGTATTAAAAATGGAGACAAAGTGAAGGCTGGAGTTAATTTCAGACCAGGAAGACTGAGCACCATGCGTGAACAGGCTTGACACAGTGCTGAACACCATGCTTGATCTTGATTGGGTTCAAGAGCAGATGGTTTCTGAAACACCAGTTCCATACCTTAAACAGATCTTTGTTCATATCAGAGACAGCCGACTGCTTGTCCTGTATTTGAAAGAAAATGAGTAGTTTTGTATTGTCCACGTAGCGCTGCTAACTGCATTTCCTGGCCACAGACGGGCGATCGTGAACATAAATGCTCAAAAGATGCGGGCCAAGGATACTACCTTGAGGGACTCCACTGACTAAGTGGAGGGGTTCCACGACAGCTGAATGAATGCTGATTACTTGATGTTTTCATTATTTCAAGTTGAAAAAAATTGACAAAAATACACAATATTTACACAAAGTATGGAAGTACAGTTGCGTACTAGTTCATGTGGACTTGACCTTTATACAAAGATCTATTTTTTATGTCTTTTACTAAGTGGACATAGCGCACTTGATCTCCTCTGATGGTCCGTACCCCCACAAACACAAGTTTTTCCACCAGTAGCTGATGATTGGGATGGTAAGGAACTTCTTGCCATCTCCGTTACTTCCTCTTCCCCCAGATCGTTCCCGTCGGTCCCATAACTGTGGACAATTCTTTGTCACTTGGTGTATTCTCGTCTGCAGACAAATCACAAAAAAAACAGCAAATGAAAACAATGTCACATTTAGACTTCTACCAGATATCCCTCTTGGGTCATTGCACATTTTTATACATGTTGGATTGGTCTAAAATAAAATCATTTTAAAAATGCAACCGAGACAAGAATGCAACCAAGAGAAGAATACCAAAAAGATTAACATGACCTCCTTTTGAAAATTATTATGATGCAAAACTTAGTACATGATGGGGTCTATTATGCAGGTTTTATGAAACTCCCAAAGGCGAGTCTTTCCATTAAACTAATTTCTAACAAATTACAAAACGCCAACTGACATAAAAACTGGTGGGCACTTCAAGTCACCCCTACCTTTTCTTCTGTTCCTGCTGACGTACTTGCTTAAATGTCACTCTCTGCTTTTTTACTCTATCGGTTTTTTGTCTCTCCAGCCTCTTCATTCTCTCCTGATTCCTTTTTTGCATAATTTCATCTATGCCATCGACTTCTGGGAGACCCATCCTGAAAAACAAATCTCTCACCCAGTGGTAAGTAGGGCCTTTGCGCTTGATAAGGTACGTCATATTTCCTTGGCAAAGGCCCAGATTGGTCGAGAACTCGTAGTGTAGTTGATGCAGGTTTTTGTCCTTAGGCCTGAACTTTGTTAGGACATGGAATTTACTCTCAGGTAAGTTGGAATGCTCTTTACCCATGACAGGATCTATGACCTCATTTGCCTTCTCTGCAATGCGATTGCACTCAATCTCGTAGAGAAGGCTGTGGAGGTCACAAGTAAGAACTTTACCCCTAACCTGATAAGGCTTTCCCACACAGCTATAATTAGTAGCTAATTCCCCGTCACTATCTTCGCTATGTTCACTGTCTTCACTACCACTATCCTCACCTGCCTCACCAAATCTAAACTGACTACTACTTGAAACCCCACTACCTGATGCCCCACTACCTGATGCCCCACTACCTGATGCCCCGCTACCTGATGTCCCACTACCTGATGCCCCACTACTTGATGCCCCGCTACCTGATGTCCCACTACCTGATGCCCCACTCCCTCCCTCATTACACTTCCCACAGGAACAGACAAATTGTGGGTGCCATGGACATGTCTGCACCCTCCCATCATCACCTGTCCACTTATGAATGTTTCGGGAATGGTATTTCCCTAGAATACGCATACGATTTGCGTACTCCTTTGGATCATTCCCGCTTTGCTTTAGGGCCGAAAAATGGTTGCTTTTGGCCCGTCCAAGAAACTCATCTGACATACAACCGCATTTTTTGGAATGTGCCCTCTTACCAGCACATTCACACTTAGCAGATGCCAGTTGTGGATAGTCTTTAGCATACATAGAAATAAATGACTGGTCCACTGACTTCTTTGATTTATAATCTTTAAGATTGTTGGCATGTGAACGACCGACATGGCCTCCACAAAGCATAACACGGCTAAGGGAGCTGTCAGGAAAGACATACCTAAATGATTTTGCTGACGAGGAGTCGGCATCTTGCCAGTTTATGGCAACCACCATTCCCTCCTCTTTAGCTTTACTGAAACAAACCTCAGCCAAGTGCCCCTCGGCAGCTTTGGCTGTTCCATCCCACAACTCTGAGTCGCAGATGTTGTTGCTGCCCTCATGCATGCATGCCCATAGTACAATGTGCACCCAGTTAGGAAATTGATAACCACAAAGGTGCAACATTGACTATGATGTCCCCTTATGAGCCAACAACCGTCAGAGGTGGTAACAGCTCTCTGCCAGCTTCCTAGCTCTGTGGGGTCTTTGGCCTTCATCTCACTTTTGCCCATTTCACAGATTTCATCTAAAATAGATTTAACCACAGGATGGGCAATTCTAATAATATTAAAAAAATTCTTATAGGCAAGAGTTTGCATTCCTAAACCCAACCTTAAAACTTTGTTGTAAATAGGGTATCCATGTCCCCATATCAAAAAGCAAAGGCCTAAGGCAAGTGAAACGCAGTTCCTCCTTGTCTCTTTGAGGCAAACCATGCTGCTGGCATAATGGATCTTGTTCCCACACCCATGGCAAGTGACCATCACCTTTATTGCTCCACCCAGCCCCTTGTCCTCAAATGCTGTAGGCACCAGTAAACCTGCAAAACATATTTTCTTACTTAGAACTCATCTAATTTGGGGGCTAAGAAAACGAAGCTTTTTCAATCTTCCGGACAAGACCAATTTCATGTGGTCATTGCAACGTTTGCATCTCACAAAAATTCTACTATTACATTTATATCTACATCCCTTTGACAAAGCATTGAAAACATATAACATTTCTCAATGCTACCTACTTACCATTACACCCGGCGGTCACACAACTGCGAACTTCGTTTATCTGGTCAATGAGACCCTCAAGCATGTTGGTTGTTCCCATAAAATAATTAAAAGGAAGCTCAACAGGTTTCACCTCCATTTTCAACCTATGAGACAATGGAAGGGCACTTTAGGACTGTGAAATTATAATATTCTTGGTTTAAAATCATTTAGCTACAGCTTGCCAATACATAGGATACACATGTATAACAGTAAACAACAAAAATGCAATCCTGACCAAAAAAAATAAATAGCGCATTATAAAGGCAAATCTGTGGTACAAGCTGTGGTAGGCAATACAATGCAAGTCTATACTCCATAAAACGCTATAAAGATCGCATGTTTACCTTTTTGGTATCGGTGCATGTGTTTGAGCTTCACGTGGCCTTTCCTGGGCTTCTTTTACGGGAGTTTCGTCGTAAGCAGAAGAAACCCCGGTTTCATCCTCGGTCTCTGGAAGATATTCTTCCTCTTCCGAACCGCTGCTCTCCTCTCCTGTATTCTGAGAAGCCTGA